TTTGCATTCAAGACATTTCAGCTCTTTCCTTTTGGCAAGCGGACATTCATTTTTAAAGTGTCCAAATCCATTACACTCATGACATTGAAGATCTCTCTTCCTTCCTGAGCGCTCTCCATCATATGTGTGTCCCTTCTCCGAGTCGTATCTCCGATACTTTCTGAACATCTTGTTTTGTCCTTTCTCAACTCGTTTCAGCATTTTGTTGAAGTTTCTAGCCATCAAGCTGAGATTTTCTTCAATTTGTTGAACTCTGACATTGTCTTTTCAGCTGTAAAGGCAATTCCTTTCTATTGATCTGGTTCCTCAGCTGCAGCATCCATCTCTTCAGCTTTTAGCATTCCACACAGCTTGTCGAACCTCATATCATCAGTATTCATGGAATACTTCAGAACTGCCTTGTGCGCTGCATACTTTGGTGGGAGACATATGAGTAGCTTCTTTACCAGTTTTTTTTTCTAATACTTCTTTCCCAAGACAGAAGCTTCATTGGCTATAGTACTGATTTTTCCAGTAAAACTTGCTATGGACTCATTTTTGTCCATCCTGAGGTTTTCGAACTGTGATGCTAGATGGTCAATACGAGTTCTTCTAACACTCGTGTCTCCTTCGAAATGATTAACAAGAGTATCCCACGCTTCTTTTGCTGATTCACACGCTTGTATTATCTTGAACTGATCAAGGTCGACCGCACCAAAGATGGCAGTCATGGCTTTCGAGTTGAACTTTGACGCATTCTTGTCAGCTTCAGTCCATCGTTCCTTAGGTTTGAGCTTCACGTGTGTTTTCGCTGGTATCGTTTTGTCTTCAGACTTCTCCTCTACCAGAATCGTAGGAGGTTCCCATCTATCAACAACGGCTGTCCAGGCGTCTTCGTCTATCCCACGAATCAGATGTCGTATTCTGGCCTTCCAGTGGCCAAAGTTTCCGGCATCGAGCATAACCGGCTTCTGAACTGCAATGAGTTCCCTCATAGATTCCATGATTTTTCCTCAGGATCTCTACCTGTTAAATAGATCTTCTGATCTATGAGGTGACCCGCTCTGATACCAAATGTAAAACCAGAATACTACAAGAGAATAGATTATGAGACACAAGATACTTTGGTTTGCCACAACAACAACTGTTTTATTAAGAATCACTTAAACAATCCTTTCGGACTTGTTAAATCAGAATTACACACTTGTTGTCTCAACAACTTTGACACTGACCAATTCCTAATCTACCCACACAACAACAGTTGTGTTTGCTCAAAGGAGCTCCTAAACTCTTCTTCTAAATCAAGAGTGTTCTAATCCCCCAAGCTCACGTTTAACCTAGTTTTCTACATTCAACTTATATATCACGTTCACGAAAACACTCTTGCCATATCTTCAAAGCGTCACATATTCGCATGGACCCGAATAAGGTAACTTCAATATCTTCCTTGATTCACACGTATCTCCTTGCTGCTGCAATCCAATCTTCACGTCTTATGTGTGTTGACACACTTTTCAGATGTTCAACGAATCTCCATCTTGCAACAATCACCCCAGTAATGCAAAAGAATGGCAGATTGAAACATTAGAGCTCTAGCTACATTCAGTAAATGCTGGTGTATATGTTCTACCACATAGTTTTGTTCAAGCGTTTCAGGACAAAAATGAAATGGTTTAATCCATTCAATTAAGTATTGGTAGAATTCAATTCATTAGCATTTTCAGATCGAACAGAGAAAATCCTAGTGTTAAACTGAGTTTCAATCATCTCGACAAAACCAGGAAACACATGTAAAACATCAGATTTTTGTTTCAACATATAAACCCAAGTTGCTCTACTGAAATCGTCTACTATGGTGAGGAAATATTTGAAACCGTTAATTGTAGGAGTGGAGAAAGGACCCTGTGTATCACTATGAATCATTTTCAAAAAAAAAATTCACACATATGATTTGAAGATTTAAAAGCAAGACGTTTTGTTTATACAAATGGCAAATATGACAATGATCCGATGATTTATTATTCTTTGGTTTTGAAAATGATAATACATCAGAGAGTGAAGTAATCTTATGCATAGACAGATGTCCCAATCTCTTATGCCATGTTACAAAATCAACAACAGAAACAAACAGAAGTGGTACCTGGTGAAGCAGAACAAGACACATTGACTAGGGACTTATCGAGATTCAAGACATATAAACTTGCAACTTGACTACCGTGACCAATCATCAATTCTCGAGTAAGAGCCTGAATGAAACAAGAATCAGAAGTAAAACTCACTTTAGAATTCAATGTTTTAGCCAAAACGCTAACACTCAGCAAGTTAAACTTGAACTCAGTAATATACAGAACATTATGCAAAGCCAAAGCATCAGTGAGTTGAATAAATGAAGTAAATATGTCATAATATATGTAATCATAAAGAGAAAGGAAAGTACCAGCTATTTGTGAGATAAATGGTGCAGAGTTTGAAGTGAAGGCATAAGACTTTTCAGGATGTGAAGAACTCGTGCTATGGGACTGAAGTTTGGAACTCAAGTACAAAATCATATGTTGTATATGATCTTTGGACATTGAGTCATTTACATCTTCAGATCCTGCTCCTTTCTAATATTGAAGGTCCCGCAGCAGCAACATTAGTACTACCTATAAATGTATTCTTAGAAGCCCTTGGATGTCCAGGAGGAAAACCGTGAAGTTTGTAACACTTATCAATGGTGTGGCCAATCTTATTGCAATGAGAGCATTTTAGCTTCTGAAACTTGCCCTGTGTGGCTAAGATGGCATTGTTCTCCTGATCGATCGCTTGAGTTTGAAATGCCGAAGGAACAGGTGAAGGTCTCACATTAACATTAACAGCTTGCTATCTTTCATCCTGATCCAACATATTGTAAATGTCATTCAAAGCCGGTATCGGCTCCATGTTAAGAATCTGACCTCGAATGTTGTTGAAATTATCATTGAGTCTCATGAGAAACTGTATGATCGGATGGTTTCAGCATCTTCAAGCAACTCTTTAACTTGATCACAGTTGCACTTCTTCATGGTATGCGATTTCGTGTTAGCTAGTTGCTCCCACATAGTCTTCTTCTTTGTGAAATAAGCTGACAGATCAAGTGAACCTTGTTTGAGTGTTATCACTGCCTGTTCTAATTGATATTTCTGGGGCAGATTGTTCACCTTGAACCTACTGAACAAATCATTCCACATCTCAACAGCATCTTGATAATACATAATGATATCATATATTTCCTTGTTCACCACATTAAGGATCCACGATTCACCATACTATTGCAACGACTCCATATTTTGAAGTAGTAATCATCTTCCCAAAGTCTAAGCAAGGATCCATCAACGAAACTGATCTTGTTCTTCACATCTAGACTAATCCTCATAGCAATATACCAACTATTGTAATTACTCCCATTTAAAGTGTGTGCAACAATCGATAAACCTGGATGATCCGACAAATGGAGGAAAATGGACTATGAGTGTTGTTGATGGACTCTATGATCCTCAACATTGATCCCTGACCTCTGATGTTCGCCGAACTGGTATATGGATGTTGTTTGACTATCGTTTCATCAGATTCATCAAAAGCTGCAGAATCATGATGAGATTTGATAGCTGAATCTTTGTCGTCAACACTCGCACCTTGAGTCTTCATTCCCCTCTCCTCCCCCCCCCCCCCCCCCCTCTTCACCATTTTCGTGAAAATTTCTTTGATCAATCAAGCACAATTAAGACGAATAATCGGTGAAAAATGACGAAATTTCGAAGAAAAATGAGTGAAATCAATGGATCAAGCAGAAGAAAAGCTCAAATATCATAATAGAAGTGACGAACAAAGAAATAGTGAAAATGATTTTATTAATTTTCAAATGTACACGAGTTATATTCTACACCTTATATACATTTATGTACCATATCAAACCAAAATCAATTCACAATATAAACTAAACCGGACATAACCAATCTATACACTTTGATAGAGAATACACAAATCTCAAATCAATAGTGATCCATTTTTATTTGATCGTTTGTTTTAATTCTGGAATTATAAATTTTTACTTTTACATACATATTTTGTCTTAGTAAAGGAAAAATAACATAAAGTTACAGGCATATGCTGCATCCAGTCCTAACCGGAAAAGGAAAAGTCTATAAGAGAAAAAGGAAAACAAGTTGGAGCTTAAGGATCTTAAACACGGTCAAGCTTCATTCTCTATATAAACAAACTTCTTTCTTCTATTCCTCTTCACAAAACCCACAAAATCTTTTCGAGTTTTAAGGATCTCTTCTTCTCTCTCAAAGTTGAATTATAAAGAGTTAATAATTTTTTGGAGTAAAATCATGAATTCGTTATTTAGTATGTTGGATTCCTTCTGCGCACAGATTATTATGGGTAACAAACCTACTTCTTATTCATTCTCTAAGGGCTCCTCGGCTTCTTCCTCCTCTGGTGCTCAAGCCGTTTCCATGGAGAATACATCAAAGAAGGTTTTGGTGGAGAAGAAGACAGTGAGGTTTGCGCCTGAGCTTGATGGACTACATTGCTTCGAGACCATGATAATTTCTTAATTATATTCCACAACGATTATGAATGTATTACTTAAATCCAAATAAGAGTGTTTGATTGATTGGTTCACACGTTTCTTTATTTGCTTTTAAAAGGTTATTTGAATCTTGGGTTCATGTTTATGTTCTTATGGGTTTCTTTGCTTCTATGCGAAAAACCGATTCATGATAATTATCTATACACGAGGAACCTTGTAGCTACATTCAATTAACGAAATTTCGCAAATAATTTCAAGAAGATTAGAATCTTTAGGTATGCTTAGGAAATTGACGTTAGGAAATTGGAAGACGACGTCGTTAATGCATTATGTAACGGACCAACCTTCTCATAGGAAAGCCCAAGTCTTAAGAAGCTCAAGCCCAATAAACTGTTGGCCTGAGACACTCTCTCTCTGCCTCTCGTTTTTCTCGATCATTTTCTTCGCTTAACACCATTATTTCAAATTTCAGTCTCAGTCTCGTTACTCTTCTTCTCGAATCGTCTCTGTCTCTCTCACCGTCAAAATTTATTGAAAATTAGAATGAAGTTCCGTTTACGTAGTGTTCTTGAAAAACACCGTAAGCAGCCGCCTCGACCCTCGTCGGACATCCGCGGCGGCGATTTCCGCCACCCCGCACAAATTAATCGGCTACAGTGTAATTAATTGCCTAAAACTTAAGTTTTGGTTCCGATCCTTTTATTTTCTGTACACATTTCCCACATTAGGTTTTCTGATTGTACCATTAACATGGAACATACTTGGTTTTGTTTAAATTACTTTTACCATTTAATTGACTCGTTGATCTCATTGCTGTCTTAATGTGTTGTGTTCTGTACATTGCAATAAACTAAGATTATAGTTGACTAAGCAGACAGATATTGATATCTTCCTAAAACATTGTGTGAGGGATTAAACTATTAGCTTTGTAATTCTGACTATGATGACACATAGGTGCTTCAAACAAGCAAAAACCTTAGAATAATTCCAAGAAACTGAAACATTCTTGGTCTAACCTTATAAATGCTTAACACTTCCTTAATGTTAGTCCACAAAGACTTTGAGATTGAAATATGGAACTCTCTATTCTTCTTGGAATTAAGAATCACAGAACATCAATTCTTGTGGTACTAGGTCTTGTTGTAATTCTCAATGGGCATAGCAGTTTCCTTGTGCAAGCCGGTGCTGAGAGCAAGGTACTCAGAAATTATGAAAGTTCATTCTTTTTTTTTAAACAGATGACATAAAACAGAGACCAATAGACTAACAAAGTTGGTTATGTTGTGATAATCGATAGGTTCATATAGTGTATTTGGGTGAGAGGCAGCATGATGATCCCCACTTTGTCACGAAATCTCATCATCAGATGTTGTGGTCACTTCTTGGAAGGTGTATAAAAAGTATTTTCTCCCTTGTTTATATCGGTTCAATTTGTATATTCATGGTTTGCTTCTTGATTCTTGTTAACAGTAAAGAGGATGCTCATGATTCAATGGTGCACAGTTTCCGGCATGGCTTCTCAGGTTTTGCGGCTAAGCTTACCAAGTCCCAAGCCAAGAAAATCGCAGGTGCTTAGTCCTAATCTCATACATGACATCTTGTTTTGTCTCAAACAAGCCAATCTGATTCTTTTTCTTTCTCTGGAAACAGATTTTCCTGAAGTTGTTCATGTCATACCGAATAGTTTCTACAGGCCGGCAACAACTCGGACTTGGGACTACTTAGGAGTTTCTGCCACCGAACCAAAGAATCTTCTAAATGACGCTCGCATGGGTGAACAAATGATCATCGGCGTTATCGACACAGGTATGAGCTGGTTTATTTACACATTTCTTTCTCACTCTGCTCATGACAGTGTAGATTGATTCTTAAGTTTCTTGTTGTCTCTGTTTTCTCGTCTCTATGACTAAATAATGTTTTATGTGGTTGCAGGAGTATGGCCAGAGTCTGAAGTATTTAACGACAACGGGTTTGGTCCTGTGCCGAGCCACTGGAAAGGAGGATGTGAATCAGGAGAGAACTTCAGCTCCTCTCACTGCAACAAAAAGCTCATAGGAGCAAAGTACTTCATCAATGCTTTTTTCGCGGAGAACGAAAGCTTCAACACCACTGAATCACTTGACTTCATTTCCCCTAGAGCCGTTAATGGCCATGGCACGCACGTTGCTACCATCGCGGCTGGTTCCTACGTGCCCAACACAAGCTACAAGGGCCTAGCTGGAGGGACTGTGAGAGGCGGGGCACCTCGTGCTCGTATAGCAATGTACAAGGCTTGTTGGTATCTGGATGATCTAGAGATAACGACTTGTTCCTCTGCTGACATCTTGAAAGCTATGGACGAGGCGATTCATGACGGTGTTGATATTCTGTCTCTCTCTCTAGGCTATGAACCTCTGTTCCCGGAAACTGATGCTCGCGATGGGATAGCTACCGGAGCGTTCCATGCGGTTCTAAAGGGTATTACAGTTGTTTGTGCGGGTGGTAACGCAGGCCCAGCGGCTCAGACCGTTACAAACTTGGCTCCGTGGATCATCACAGTGGCTGCTACTACTCTAGACCGTTCCTTTCCGACTCCTATGACACTTGGGAACAATAAAGTGATATTGGTAACTGAAAGATGTATTAACTGTTTTCCTCAAATTAAAACACTACTGTGCAAATGTTAGATGATCTTTGTCTTATTGTGAGTTTGAACACTATATTGCAGGGTCAAGCAGTGTACACAGGTCCCGGACTTGGTTTCACTAGGTTGGTTTACCCAGAGGATCCAGGGAACACCAACGAAAGCTTTTCAGGGTAATTTCAAATCTCTAGTTTCTTATTAGGACCTATGTTCAGTGTTGACCAAATCTTGCAATATGAAGATCAATTCTCTGAATTCACTTCTGGTTCTTGACTTCTTGTAATGCAGTACATGTGAGAGTCTTCACATCAATTCTGATGTTACAATGGCGGGGAAAATCGTGTTGTGTTTCACAGAATCACCTTACGGTACGGCTGTATTGAGGGCTGCACGGTTTGTGTCACAAGCTGGTGGTGTCGGCGTAATCATTGCAGGACAACCAGGCAACATTTTCCGACCATGTCTAGATGATTTCCCTTGTGTTGCTGTCGATTATGAGCTCGGGACCCATATACTTCTGTACATACGTTCTAGTGGGTATGAAAATTTAAACTAAGATCTTCACCACTTCAAATAGTAAGAAAAATAAGTAACGTTCTGTTGTTTTTCAGATTGCCTGTTGTGAAGATACAACCATCTAAAACACTCATTGGACAACCAGTGGGTACAAAGGTTGCAACTTTCTCATCAAGAGGTCCTAATCCAATCTCAGCCGCGATCCTCAAAGTATGTGAGAATCTTTTACATGTTCGTTTCAATTTCAGAACCATTTATATATTTTTGCCACAGATGTTATCAATCATATGAATGCAGCCTGATATAGCAGCACCAGGAGTGAGTATATTGGCGGCTACAACCACCAATACCACTTTCAACGACCGAGGATTCATTTTTCTGTCGGGAACATCAATGGCGACTCCTACCATTTCAGGAGTTATTGCACTTCTCAAAACTCTGCACCATGATTGGTCTCCTGCTGCATTTAGATCAGCCATTGTCACAACAGGTTCTTATCTTCTTCACCTAATCAATCGAATTAGCTCCATAAGAACATACACTGATCTCGGGTCTTTACTTACTCTGCAGCTTGGAGAACTGATCCATTTTGTGAGAAGATTTTTGCAGAAGGGTCACCTCGAAAGCTAGCTGATCCGTTTGACTATGGTGGAGGCCTTGTGAATCCAGAGAAAGCTGCGAAACCAGGTCTTATCTATGACTTGGGCCTCGAAGACTATGTTCTCTACTTGTGCTCCGTTGGTTACAACGAGTCAGCAATCTCTCAGCTTGTCGGAAAATCAACAGCCTGCTCGAATCCGAGACCATGTGTTCTTGATTTCAACTTGCCTTCCATCACAATCCCAAATCTTAAAGACGAAGTCACTCTCACCAGAACACTCACTAACGTTGGACTAGTCGACTCGGTCTATAACGTAGCGGTCGAGCCACCGTTGGGAGTTCAAGTGAGTGTGACCCCGGAGACGTTAGTGTTCAACTCGACGACCAAAAGGGTCTCTTTTAAGGTCAAAGTCTCGACCACACACAAAATCAATACTGGTTACTTGTTTGGAAGCTTGACTTGGAGTGACTCTCTGCATTATGTCACCATACCTTTATCTGTGAGAACGCAAATTCTGCCGTTCTACTACGATGAGAACTAATCCAAAGTAAAAAAGTAACCAGTCGTGTCTTTTTGTTTAACGCACTTATACTGTATACTTTGTTTGTATGTATTAAACTATTTGAATAAGTAAAGTTGGATGAGTAATAATTTCATTTTGTGAAGCAGAAACTTTAAAAATTTCATTTTCTTGTGAGAGAATACTCAAATCAAATCAATAGTGTTTATTGTCACACATAACCACAACTATAAGACAGGAAACCCTTTGTATCGGTGTGTTTGTTAACCATTTTACAATAATTTTCTGTACATATATATAACTTCCTTTTTATAAGGAAAATCCGAATATTTACTTGATTCAATTTTGTCTTAAAAACTTATAAAGTCCCACATCGAAAGATGCGAAGTTAATAGAGTTTTTTATATAGAGTAAAAAATAGTACAATGTTCGTCGAGCTAGTTAACGTAAGCTTGTAATCCGAATGGAGGCTGCATGGATAATGGAAAGTTGGTTTGGTCAAAGTGGTAGGTCTCGGGTTTGGGTTTATAGTGATCCGCCTGGTCCAAACCACGTGAACCACGTGGCTCTTAGATTGGAGGGCAATGCGTGAAGCTAGAAGTCCGGCAGTGGCTAATTCTCCCAATAGAGCTCCATGCAAACAGGGACATCAATGACGTTTATGAAGTTCCTATTGATCATTTTGATATCAGCGAATACTCTTGTTGTTTCAGGAGTTGTACTTGTAGTGCTCCCCAAATCATTACACCCTCACTCCTTCTGCTATCAAATCATTTTGATACATTGACTAATGAAAGTTTATGAAGAGCCTATTGATCCGAGGGAACACTTTGACATAAACTAATCCATCAGGAGAGTCTATTTTAATAAGTAGTAAATTTCAGAAATCTGGGGATTTGAAACAAAGTGAAAATTAAAGGGCAGAAATATTGGTTTTCTTAGATAAGAGAACAAAGTAAAAACTTCATCATTATTAATCAAACATTACTTGTATTAATCAAATACTTCGATACTTACATAAAGAGATCAAAGTTAGTGTTTTTTTGTTCAATTCTCATCGTAGTAGTTCTGCAGAATCTGCGTTCTCACAGACAAAGGAATAGTAACGTTATGTACAGAGTCACTCCAAGTCAAGCTTCCAAAGTCATAGCCTGTGTTGATTTTGTGTGTGGTCGAAACTTTGACTTTAAAAGAAACCTTTTTTGTTGCTGAGTTGAACACTAGCGTCTGAGGCGTCACGGTCACTTGAACTCCCAACGGTGGCTCGACCGCTACTTTATAAACAGAGTCGACTGGTCCAACGTTAGTAACGATTCTGGTTAGACTGACTTCTTCTTTGAGGTTTGGAATTGTGATGGAAGGCAAATTGAAATCAAGGACAGATGGTCTCGGATTCGAACAGACTGTTCCTTTACCGACAAGCTGAGAGATTGCTGACTCGTTGTAACCAACAGAGCACATGTAAGCAACATAGTCTTCGATGCCCAAGTCATAGACAAGACCTGGTTTTGCAGCTTTCTCTGGATTCACAAGACCTCCACCATAGTCAAACGGATCAGCTAGCTTCCGAGGTGATCCTTCTGCAATAATCCGCTCTCCAAATGGATCTGTTCTCCAAGCTGCAGAGTAATTAAAGATCAGTCTGTTCTTATGGAGCTAAATTCTATTAGTTGTCTAAGTCGTTTCCTTTTCTAACAACAAATGGTGAATAAGATGAGAACCTGTAGTGACAATGGCTGATCTAATGGCAGCAGGAGACCAATCACGGTGTCTAGCTTTAAGAAGTGCAGCAACTCCTGATATTACAGGAGCCGCCATTGATGTTCCTGAGAGCATAATGAATCCTCGGTCGTTCAAAGAGGTATTGGTGGTGCTTGTAGCCGCCAATATGCTCACTCCTGGTGCTGCTATATCCGGCTGCATTGAGACATTCATATAACTAAAAACATCTTTTTATGAGAAATGACAAACACAAGAATGATTCTGACGTACTTTGAGGATCGCAGGAAAAACTGAATTAGGTCCTCTTGATGAGAAATCTGCAACCTTTGTAGCCACTGGTTGTCCAACGAGTGTTCTTGAAGGCTGTAACTTCACAACAGGCGATCTGCAAAACCCACAAGTCCAGCAAAAAAACAGCCTCAAACATCTTAACACCAAGTGCTTGATCACTTATTCATTCACAAAGTTCGTATTTTCATTACCCTGAGGAACGTATGTAGAGAAGTATATTTGTCCCAAGCTCGTAGTCAACAGCAACACAAGGGAAATCATCTACACATGGTGAGAGAGCGTCTCCTGGGTTTCTTGCGACAATCACGCCAAGACCACCTGCTCTCTTCACATAACGTGCAGCGCTTGATACAGCACTGTGACGTTTTATGGTTGTGAAGCACAACACAACTTTCCCCGCCATTGTAAGATTAGAATTGATGAGAAGACTCTCACAGGTACTGCATTATAAGAAACCAGAGTAAATTTAGAAAACTGGAGAAACCTTCAACCTAACTCAACATAGGTCCTAACGAGAATTCAAGAAAGCTCCTCACAAGTACTGCATTTCAAGAACCAGGGTGATATCAGAGAATTGATCATCTTTATATATAGCAAGATTTGGTGAATACTAACTCAACCTAAGTCCAAATAAGAAACTAGAGAGTTAGTATTACCCAGAAAAACTTTCATTGCTGTTCCCTGGATCCTCTGGGTAAACCAAGCTAGTGAAACCAAGTTCTTGACCTGTGTACATTGCTTGACCCTGCAATACAGTGACCAAACTCACAATAAGACACATATAATCAAACATTATGTTGTGAAAACATCTAATCTGAGTATAGCAATATATCTTTTAGTTACCAATATCACTTTATTGTTCCCCAGTGTAATAGGTGTGGGAAAGGACCGGTCTAAAGTAGTTGCAGCCACTGTCAAAATCCAAGGAGCTATGTTTCCCACAGTCTGAGCCGCTGGGCCAGAATTACCACCTGAACAAACAACTGTGATACCCTTTAAAACGGCATGGAAGGCTCCAGTAGCTATCCCATTGCGAACATCAGTTTCCGGGTAGTAAGGAACTCGATTTCCAATAGAGAGGGACAAAACATCAACACCATCATGTATAGCTTCATCCATAGCTTTCAAGAGGTCAGCAGATGAACAAGTGGTTATGTCGAAATCATCTAGATACCAACAAGCCTTGTACATTGCTATACGAGCACGAGGCGCCCCACCTCTCACAGTCCCTCCGGCTAGGCCCTTGTAGCTTATGCTGGGCAAGACTGAACCACCTGCTATGGTGGCGACGTGTGTGCCATGACCGTCAAAGTCTCTAGGGGAAATAAAGTCGAGTGATTCTGTGGAATTGAACTCTTCGTTCTCCGCAAGAAAAGCATTGATAAAGTACTTTGCTCCTATGAGTTTTTTGTTGCAGTGAGAGGAACTGAAATTCTCTCCTGGTTCACAGCCTCCTTTCCAGTGTTTTGGCACCGGTCCAATCCCATTTTCACTAAAGACTTCAGATTCTGGCCATACTCCTGCAATCACAGAGCAAATATTTATTGATTGAGACGCTAAGACAAAGGAATCAGAAGCAACAGGAGAAATTAAGATCAAACCATACCTGTGTCGACAATGCCAATTATAACTTCTTCACCCATATTAGTGTCGTTTAGAAGATTCTTCGGATAGGCAGCAGAAAGGCCTAAGTAGTCCCAAGTCCGAGTTGTTGCTAGTTCGTAGAAACTATCAGGCGTTACATGAACAACTTCAGGTAAATCTGTTGCCAAAGAGCATTAGCGATGAAAAAAATATTTCAAATGAATTTGATGAGACAAATGAAGATGTCATGTAAATGCATGCGGTAAGTATGAGACTTAAGACAAAGTACCTGCTATCTTCTTAGCTTGAGAATCGGTGAGCTTGGCCGCGAAACCTGAGAACCCATGTCGGTAACTGTACACCATTGAATCATGAGCATCCTCCTTACTGTAATAATGGGAACAAAAGCAAGAAATTTGAGTAACACTTTGAGACATTATTATATATACTTATGAGAAAGTGGAAATACATACGTTCCAAGAAGTGACCACAACATCTGATGATGAGATTCCGTGACAAACGCGGGATCATCATGCTGCTTCTCACCCAAATACACTATATGAACCTATTGATTATCACAACAGAACCAACTTTGTTAGTCTATTGGTTTCTATTTACATGTTTTCTGGTAAAAAAAAGGAACGAACTGTTACCTTGCTCTCAGCACCGGCTCGTGCCACGAAACTGCTTTGCCCATTGAGAAGTATCACAAGACTTAGCACCACAAAAATTGAGGTTCTGTAATTCTTCATTCCAAGCAGAGAAAAGAGAGATGTAATATTATACTTGGGGACTAATATCGAGGAAGCTGAAACATTTATATAGATGTCTACTCAAGAAAGAGTTTGACCAAGAATGTTTCTATTTCTTGGAACTATTCCAACTTTTGGTTGTTTGAATCTCAAAGTCAGAACAAATACGCACACACATAATCTAAAGAATATATCAAGCTGGTGTGGCTTTGTCAACTAAAGTATAGTTTATTCGCAACCAATGAACATACATCAACAAGCAATGGATTGAGCACTCAGAGGAATCAAGAGGCCAATTAGGAGTAAACCAGTTGGTTTGACTCTCCTAAACCGGAAACTCAGGTGTCCATGCTCAGTCAAGCTCTTGAGGGTGTAAGCAAGCATGCGTCTTGACCAAAGAAACGCGTTATTGAAAAGGCCTTTACAGAGTTTCACTTGGTATTATGATCCATGCTGATTCCTTAGCTCTATAGGAATCAGAAAAAGTCTCCAGAGGTCTCTGTAACAATCTCCGAGGTTTTTGCCCAATTGCGTAAACTCTTATCATTTTCTCAGCAAAGACGGTGAATGTTACTGCTGAACCTAAAATAGAGAGACGGAAGTTGAGGATCAAAAATTCGTGTAATCAAAACAAAAGAAAAGGACGAAACGACTTTTTCCGGGGAAATTACAAGGTGGCGAGGAACGAAACTGATGATTGTGATTGTGAAAACGAAAAACCTTCGGGTGTATAGATTGTACTGGGAGAGTCTCCAAAATGCAGAAAAGATGAAACAACATTGAGACTAAAAAGTCTGAAACCATGATCGGGAAAACTGGTGAGTGGTGAAGATGATCGGAGACCAGAGGATAAAATTATTGGGCTTAGGTGTCCCAATTGTAAACTGGGCTTTTGAATTTGACTATTGATTTGTTTTAATTTTACTAAATGAATGTGCAGATTTTTTTTATAATATAATTTATTAAAAAATATAGTTATAACTTATTTTATTTTATTGTATATTTAAATTTTTTTTAAAAATATTGTGTATTTGAATAAACATATAATATATAGTTATATATTATTTGGATATTAACTATATATGTGATAAATGGTTTATTGATAAGAAAATGTGAAATATGTTATATATTGTATATATAAAATATATTAAATAGATATACTGCAAATGAGAGAATTACTATATAATAAAAATTAACTAGAAAAATTCTTCAAGTACAATATAGGTAGAGACAATTCTTTTTAACGTATAGCATTTGTTCACGGTGCAGAATTACACAATAGTAATGCTGTCGTTTTATATTTTTATGAGCTTAAATAATTAATTTATAATTTCATTAAAAATTTTATAAATAAATATATTAGGACTTTGATATGTTATTAAAAATTATTAATGGATCAAGTTTGAATAAAATAAATTATCAAATATTTATTAGTTTATAAAAAAGTTGTTTTAAAATTTATTATAATATTGTATTCATTTTTCGCCTAACTTTTTTAGGTTCAAAATATCAAATATTTTTTTTATATTTGTATAATTATTTTATAATAATAACTTATGATATTAATTAGAAATAAGAAAACACTCTTAAATAAGAAACATAAATATTTTTAATTATTTTTAAAAACTACCATAAAATAGATATTTAATAATTATTTTTGGATATTTAGTATATATTGTTATTAAAATATATTATCTGATACTTCATATTTTTCATATTATTTTGGTATTATGATTAATAATCCATTAAATTTATGAATTAACTGTATTTTTTATAATTTGTATCATTAAATTTAAAAAATGACACATGTCATTTTTACAATAAACCAAAAAAATAATAAGGTGGCACTCATATGGAGAGAGTTAGTCATCTTTTATAATATAGGTTGGTTAAAAACATCAATCTAACCTAATCAAATGTGATATGAAAATGATGATATGTAATGATGATGTAATTGTGACATGACATTTGCTAACACATGTAGATTATGACATGGCAAATTTTTTTTTATATGTTTAATTTATTTTAGTTCAAATAATTATTTTATGAAAACTAAAAAATATAAAATATTTAATTATTAATATAAATTGTAAACCATCGTTTTTATCACATGCACAAAATATATGTTATATTGTTTTATTACATGCACAGATTTGTACACGTTAAATTGTATAAGAATTATATCTTCATCACATGTACCAACTATATAATCTAAAGTAACATTAATCTAACAATGTTTAACTAAAGAACCCATTTTTGTTGTCTACACAAAACAGAAGCTAAACAAATATACAAAGAGAAGTTAGAATATACCACATTTTTTTAACGGAAGTATGATTATCTACTTTTAACAGTCTTCTTGAGATTGTCTTTCCGCAATATAATCTAAAGCAACATTAATTGTATCATCAAATTGTATATAAATTATGAGAATTATCTTCATCACATGCATCGACTATATAATCCAAAGTAACATTAATCTAACAATGTTTAACTAAAGAGCCCGTTTTTGTTGTCCATACGAAACATAAGCTAAACAAATATACAAAGAGAAGTTAGAATATATTTAAGTTCAAATAATTTTCTGTGTTTAATTTATTTTAGTTTAAATATTTGTTTTATACAAAGAAGTCTTCGAGAATTTATAGGCTAAATAACTGGATAAATTGAGGAAGATTAATTGAAGACGAAGAAGATGATGAAATTTGCAATATGTACGCCTGACCCGCAAATCCGCAGCAGGTAACCCGCTTAATCAGCTATCCACAGGTCTGACCCATTTGACCATTTAACATAATAAAATTGGCCTTTTGCTATAGTGAAATGTTTAGTTAAAAGTATACCATATTTTGCTATTAGATCTTATAATTTAATCGCCGTACCTAATTTTTTATATATTACAAAAAATAAAATATTTATAACGATTTAGATATTATATTTATGTAAATAAATTTTAAAATTGTTTATCCATGCACATGCGTGCGGGCCATACTCCTAATTGGATGTAAATACACATATGGTCAATGTGTTGTCTCTTTCGAAAGGCGAAAATTGTTGTTGTTGCGAGTATTATTCATTTCATATCTAGATGTATTGAAAATCATCGATTACAATAAAGAAACAGGTTGCTGATTTATGAATTAGTTCCTAGTATCTACCAGTTTGTGAGTTATGGCAATTTGAATCCGCCTTTTTTCTTGTTTTTAGACTTAGAAAAAGCTTAATAATCAGATAAATTTGAGATCCAATCAGTGGCGAGTGTAGCAAGGATCATAACCAAGAAATTGCATTTTTACGTCAAATTGAGTGTATGATCCTGTCAAAACCAAAGTATGATCCTGTCAAAACTAAAATTGCAATATATTTTACATCAGAGAAATAACATTTTCCCGTTAAAACAAAAGTATTTTATTTTTTTCGTCAAAATAAAAAAAAAATTGTTTTCCCACCAAAACCAAAAATCACATTTTCCCATCAAATCCGAGAAATCACATTTTCCGGTCATACCTGAGAAATTATGTTTTTCCACCAAAACTAAAAATTTTATATTCCCGTCAAAATCGAGAAAATTTGTTTTTTCGTCAAACCAAAAATTGTGTTTCCTAAAACAAACTATGAAATTGCAATTTTATGTCAAAATCGTTAAATTGCATTTTCCCGTAAAATTGTATTATTTTGCGAAAATCAAGAAATTGCATTATCCATCAAAAATAGAAAAATTAAATTGCCCATCAAAACCGAGAATTTGCATTTCCTGTCAAAACCGAGATATTTTGTTTTCCCATCATAACCGAGAAGTTTTGTTTTCCTTCAAAACTGCAAAAATTTATTTTTCCATCAAACCGAGAAATCATATTTTTCCATCAAAACCAAAAACAATTCATTTTCGCGCCAAAACAGACAAATCTCATTTTTTCGTCAAAACCGTGATTTTCATCTTTTTCATCAAAACATGAAATTTTGCTTTCACGTCAAAACCGAAAAACTGAGTGAAGACCAAGCTAGAAACAAAGGTAATTTAGGCATTTTTTGATGTCAACGACGCTGAGATTGAGGTTTTCGCGAATGAATGGGAAGAAGCCTGAGCTGCAAAAATGAAGACAAAGCAGCAGAATAATTGAAACCATGAGAGATGGAAAGCTCTCATGTAAGGCTTAGCGGCGGAGAATAATCGAAAAGTTATTGATGTATTCTAGGTAACCACCAGAAATGTCAATTTCTAAGTTGTAGTGGTTTGAGCTTCTCCTCCTTTGCTTTTGACCTCCATTATATGTAAACTTTGGGATTTTTAATGGGTCAATAAAATAGTAAACTGATTTTATTATTGTGTTGATGATATGTATTATTGTTATGTTTTTATTAGTTTTAATTTTTGCTAATGTGTAAGCTTCTTATAACATAAGACTTTTTGCTTTGTTGTCATGGAAGCATAGTTAATCATGAGCATACACTTTCTTCAATCATACACGTCTATGTCAAGCAAACATATTGTTAGACGTTTTTTTTATTTACTGTTATTTATTATTTAGGTTTGGGTTTGGCAAAGAATAAAACAAAGATTCATTTTTTATTTGCTTTTATTTTTTATTTGAGCTTGAATTTGGTAAAAAATAAAACAAAGATTAACTAAAAAATTAGATTTTTAATGGGTTTAAGTTAAAAATTATAAAAATTAGTAGATAATGTTTATTAATTAAAATGTTTTGATTAGTTTATTGATTTTGTTTATTTGTCAGCTTCTGGTAATTTGAAAAAAGCTGAGGTGCCAAGTTATAAAGAGACATTAATATTGATTATTGTGTTGTTTCTCTCTTTAAAAAATGTTCGTCTACTAAAGAAGATGTAAAATATGAAAGAGGTTTTCTATAACTTGGAATCTTGTTTTTTTTTTCTTTTTTGATATCATCATCATTAGTATCTTATTTGTGATAGTCTCATAGGAAAAGTTGTGCATTACGTTTTCGTGTTATGTTTTTTTTCTTTGCGCCTTCTTTAATTTTTCACTTCTCTCATTTATTTATCGTGTATCATATATCTTGTATTCAGACAAATTTAAACATTTGTCATCGTGTTTCTAATCATTACAATATTTTATAAATATTAACTATCAATGATTGCTAGTATTCTATCAAATATATAAAATATACTATCAAATAAATCAAATGTTTATTAAATATGGGAGGATCTCTCACTAATCAATTGAGCTTTCTAATGGGTTTTGAAAAAAAAATAAAAGAGGCTAAGAAATTCGGACAATTTTTTGATCCATTTGTAGGAAATCTCAAGCTTAACAAAAAAAATATAATGGATTTAAGTTTAAAAGTTAAAATAAATAAATAAGTTATATTAATAAAATATTTTGATTGGTAATTTTTTTTTGCTTGAGATGTCATGCTTAAATCTGATGTGTCATCTCCTGGAGAAACATAAAGATTATTAGTGTGTTGACTAGTACATGACAACAATCAACTTAACACCACAAAAAAAAGAAAAAAACTAATATAAAGTCGTATAATTTGATGATTTGCAAGAAAATAAAATAAAATAAAATAAATATAAAATATAGAAATAATACAATGGTCTTCCGTGATCCTAATATTGATGATGAGGATAAACACAATCCAAAAAACATTACCAATCCAACTTGAGTCAAAAATCTCTTTAATTTGGTAATAATTAAATGGAAATTATAACTAGTCATTTTTTTTTTGAAATATATCAATAAATGAAAATTATAACTAGTCAAACTTTTTGAAATATATCAATAAATGAAAATAATAACTAATTAAAATTTAAGTCAAAATATCTATATTAAAAAGACATACACACAACACAAGTATTTCTCATAGGTAACTAAATATTGGAAATGTGTCAGAAAATGATATAAAGCAAAAAAACAAAATCTGAATTTTAACTATAAAAGGAATATACAGAAACAAATATACAAGCAAAAGTGATATATTTAAGTCTTTGACAATACAGTGAAAATGTATTTCAAGAATGGATTCATAAACTTTGTATTGATTTT